TTTTGCCCGGACAGCGGCACTACGGCCTACTCTTATATCGAATTCCAACTGCCAAGGGATCTTTTATGTGCACGCCAATGTGTACACGTGACCTCGGTTTTTCGTCCCATCCGAATGACTAGACAGCTTTCCTAGTCAGCCCCTCCGTCCTGCATCACTGACAAGGGAGAACCACGCCGGAAAATCTGGATGAACTTTCTCGGCCAATGCAGGGATCGAACACCCGACCTCCAGGCTAGCGAGCTAGCGTCTTACCCACTTAGCCACATGATCCCCAGCAACATAAACATGATCTTTTGTCTTATAATAGTAAGTACAGGACAACGCCACACAAAACCAAAACTCATAAGACAAACCTGTGGACAAGAATTACTATTGATGCTGGTATTTATTATATACATTATCCAATGTCAAATTGTCTATTAGAAAAGTCAAACTGAAGCAGAAGATAAAGGTATAAAATACTGAAATCGATACCCCTACATAATTATATGTTTTTTTAAATTCATTTTCTGTCTCTATCAGTACTATTAAAATCTGTCAAGAGAGTAAATGAGTAATTCTACAAAATTAAATAAGAGTTCTTTTTTTTTTAGTGAAAAGCTCTTTAATAATGTTGTCAAGTAGAGAGACATTGAGTTTAAAATGAAAGGATAATTGAAGACGAATACAACTCTAGTGAATTTATTGGACATTATAATTGTCATAATTGTGTTAAGATTATTTCCAAAGGAAACTGTCACTGTTGCCATCTCCCTCGATGATCAACTTGAAATGGACACAATTAACAACTAAGACAAACACGGACGGCTAACTTTTGTCATATTAATTCAATATCTGCAGCTTTCATACAGGCCATTATAACCACAAATTGAGGTTTACTCGACCAGTTGCAGTTTCATTTTTTCCTGTTTAATCATAAAGTTAATGATTGACGGGAGCCTAATAGCCACTAACTGCTACTTTGAAAGTTGATCATTTGAAGATAATAGCACAAGATTATGGCAATTGAGATCATCATAAATTCAATCAGAAAGAATTTCCTACACAGCAGGCACATTCTGAAACAACTAAAAAGGATCCACAAATATCTTCGGGGGTTTTAGGATTTTTTTCAAATAATACTTTCATTTGATTTAATATTCATGAAGGCATAAATGTTATGCAGAGCAGTGCCAGAAAATTTAACAAGCGGTTGCCATGCAAAATACGCCCACAATTTGCAAGAGACAGATAGAGAACAAGCTAAAAAAACATTGTGATTTTTCGTAAACTCAGGGGCCATAATCCAGGAAGTGATGGTCTCAAATGAGTGAATATCGAAAGGGTCGCTTATCTTTCGGATATGAAGATATATTTTAAGTGTCATCCAAATCAGACAAAAATTGTGACCTCTTAAGGTCCACTACCTTCATATTACATACTTTTACACAATTTGCATACAAGAAGCAACTATTTTGTCAGACAGTTTAGTTTCGATTTTCCTGAAATTTGAACTCAACCTTCATTATGGTACAACAGTGATATATTTAAATAGTTTTTAAAATCAAATATAAATTGAAACCTCTAGAGTGTCCACAAGCTAAAAATTTTATTTTTCGTACAATCAGAGGCCATAATCCATGAAGTTACGATCCGATACATGCCAATATCGAAAGGAACCAAGATCTTTGGGAGATAAACCTATATTTCAAGTTTCGTCAAAATCAGATCAAAATTGTGACCTGTAGAGTGTCCACAAACAAATTATGGACGGAGGGACATACGGAGCAACAACAATATACATCCACATGAAAATGTGGACCTATAAAAACAACAATTCTACTTTTTCTATTGTTCTGACATGGATTGAACTTTTCTATGAGTTGGTAATTCTGTGATAAAACTATAAACCAAAAGTTACAAAAGACGTAACATCAAAGTTTTCCCATTTAATTCCTTTTTTATTTAATTAATTTATATTTTATCAAATTTTAGAAATGGTAACTTTAAAAAATAAAATTCATGAAGTTAGTATTAAATTCTGTGATAAAATCATACAACAGAAATTAACACAGAGAGATACATCCACATTTTTTCATTTCATTCCTTTCTTTTTTATTCATTTATCTTATCTAATTAATTTCAATTTTATAAAATTTTAGAAATGATAACTTGATCAATATTTTTTTTAAAATAAATTAATAAATTCAAATCTTATTTAATTAATTTCAATTTTATAAAATTTTAGAAATGATAACTTGATCAATTTCAATTTTTTTTTTTAATAAATTAATAAATTTAAATCCTCCATCTAGTTCCTTTAATTCAGAACAGCCATTTCCTTACTTCTGAAACAGTACATAGTTCATTTGAAATATTGTTTTTGAACTCAGCAGCATGGAAATCTTCAAAGACAACTATAAAGCCACATTGATTTTATTTGCTAGAAAATGATGCACCAAAAATAAACCAAATTAAGTCATTTAATTGCCAAGATGGAGGACATATCTATAATCTTACAAATAATCACAAGCGCTGGCTATGCCTTCTGTCAGACCATTTGTCAGAAATGAAATTGTTTGTAATTGTCTTTGTGCTATTGTTTGTAAAAAGCAAAAACTACACTGTGTGTTATAGTTACGATTATGATGTTTTCATAAAGTTTTGCTGAAATTAGATGATGGCTATATATAAGGTAATGGGTACTTGTAGATGGCTTTTTGATAGAGTATCAGTTTTAACTAAAGACAAATGAATAGAAACAATCTGTTAGATATTTGTGTGTGAAGTCACCTGTAACTTTAGTTAATCTCTTTACCCATAAATCACAGTTCATGCCACATGATCAGATGGTAGAAGTTAATCATCCATTTCACTCTAGTTGCTCTACACCAACAATAGCGTTACCCTTTCATTTAATTCAACTTCTGTTTCATGTCAGTCATAGCAAACAGAGATTCTTTAAATAAAGGTACACTTTCAACTTTCGGAAATGAGGGTGTTTTGTTAAACAGATTGAATATGAATTTGAAATAAGAACATACAAAAATAGTTTTAAAACAGAAATTAATCAATGGTTTGAAAATACAGTGTGTCAATATTGTCTATGCATCGTACCCTACGTATAGTCGAACAGTCTTTCCGTATGAATATGATAAAAGATAAGATGTTTATTGCATCAAAACATCCATTAAAGATACATTATGGGAGATTAGATAAAGAGCTGCCAGTTCTCACTATAATAGTTAAAAACTAGATAATGTAAAGGGAATTTGCCGAAAATTTCAGACAAATTGATCCACTCTGAACTGAGAATTTACCAACTGAATTTTGGGCCTAGCCTTGATCATCATTACTAAAGTCGGTATTATAAAAAACATAGTCTCAATTATCCATTTCTTGATTTAATCATGAGCAGCAGATCGGATTCTAATCCAATAAATATTGCAGGCTAGCGATGACATCGAGAGTTGATTATGGTCTGGTTCAGTTAATAAATGTCTAATTAATAATTTAGATAACATTTCAGGCCTAAAGAAAGACCTGCAATAGGCAGATTTAGCTCTTGCATAAGAGCTATACTATACACCAGAAAACACCGAAAAACACCAGGAAAACACCGGAAAACAACCAGCAAACTACCAGAAAACACCATGTTATACAGAATACCGGAAAACACCCTAAATACCGGAAAACACCCTAAATAGGTGAGAAGGGCTATACTATAAACCAGAAACTAACCCTAACCCAAACCCTAACCCAGGCACACAGAGGACCAGGCTCCGGGTTACCTATTTAGGGTGCCAGTCTCTGGATTACCTATTTAGGGTATTTTCCCGTATTTAGTGTGTTTTCCGGCATTCAGTATAGAATGGTGTTTTCCGGTAGTTTTCCGGTAGTTTTCCAGTGTTTTCCGGTATATAGTATTGTCGTTGCATAATGTATATTTAACTTTTTAAATTTAGTCTGCCCATCAATCTAGAGTTTGTTTTAATTTTGTTTTGGGTTTTCATTTGGCCATATTATTGTAAGATCTGTACCCTTTGGAGAGTGTTGGGTTTTGCTGTCCTTATTTTGGGTTTAAATTTTGCTGTTCATCGAGTTTTGTATAGGCTTAGTGGATAGAAGGCCCTCTAGCTGTTTCTGAATGCTAATCATTGCTAACCAAAACACATGGTTAGCAAACTGAACAATTGTCTCATCTAGGTGAAACTCAAAGAGGTCTATGGAAAAGTTTAACTAGTAATATTTGAACACAGGCAGCAAGATAAACCAAATTATGTTGCCGGAAAATTGATTGCCTTAATATTTGTTTTCATTTCCTGTCAAATGGGAGGTTATCAAAAGTTTTACCGGGCCAGATGTCACATGATCACACATAGTTTACATTATGGATTAATTATGGGTTAAAGGGACCATCCCGATTTTAACAGAGTCTCAGAAATAAAAGTCTGTGTACGTATGAAATTTATTTAAGTGCCAAAAATAGAGGAATGGTGTATTGAGTCATTTGGACGTGAACCTCAAAACCGCTTTTCCAGAACGTAACCCTTTTAAGATTTCGGGTCAATTTTTTTCGTTGGGTGACCTGATAATCTATTGCTGTTCCTTTAGAGGTCTATACAATGCATGACCTACGTGCTGTACTTGATAACGAAAGGTAAATATCTCCTACACATTACTTTTATAAAATAAAAGCTTTGTTTTATCCAGACACTGTATCATACAGGTTGGGACACCGGTCTCCATTTCCAAATAAAGACTTACAGGTATAAGTTGTTTAAAAACGTATCACTTATATTGAGTTAGTCGCTCGGCCCTATGGTAGAGGTTTTTAAGAGCTTTTAACACAAAATTAAGCAGTTTTATTCTCCAAAATATAATCGAGTTTGGCCCTTTAATGTTGGTTTCCACACAGGGTGTTATTAGCAAAAACATTTTTTTTCAATGTCTATCTAATTTCATGTGTTCAGTGATATATTGTAATATATTGCAGATTGTGAATTGTAAATGCTTACCTTGGAAATATGTTTTAGTCCTCAAGAAACTAACAGCTAAACGTAAAATAGATAACTTGTCGAGTTTAGAGATGACACTTTGTTCAAATGGTAAAAGACTAGCCAAATGATCTAATTCTGAGTTGAGCCGTAATCTGTGACGTTTACTAGGGTTGCTTTTAGGTGGATCTTTACTCGGGGTTTTTACACTGGAAGAAAGAAACAGTTGAAATGATATATTGGTTATTAGCACATCAACATTACTAAGTTATTTCCGTACAAAATCTAACACTGGCCTACAAGAAGCTGACATTGCATAAAAAGTACACTTCGTGTTGGCTGCAAAACAATGTCAAAGTAAATGCTTCATTGCCACTGTAATGACTTTTCCTTCTTCAATCAATTACAGCTGATTTGACGATTATGTTGTCTTATGTAGTAGACTCAGTATTTTTGAAGAGAGAGGGAGGGGAATAATTTTGAAAAATCAGGGGGTCAAAAATGATTTGTGGCACATATCTGAACCCCAAAAAACATTTAATTTCATCAGCTACATCACCCCAATCAATTTGATTAAAATACAGATCTGTATTTCAATCAGATTTCGCCCCAATCAATAAACATCTCAAATTTACATGTCTACAGAAACAGAATAATTATTTTTTATACTGTTACCTAGGGGGAGCCCCCACCTGATTCTGCCACTTATTAAATATACAAATATAAACCTATGAATTTTTTCGAAAAAGCAAATCCAGTGTAAGCATTATCTGAAACAAACTATTACTTTTTATCCATATGGTGGGATTTACCAATAATAATTCAATTGGTTTTAATTGTATCAAACAATTAAGCTAGAAAAACTAGATGGAATTGATCAGATATATTTAATTAATTTTTTCTAATGAATATATATTATCCAAGGTGGAAATTCAAAAATTCAAAAGATCAATGTACATTAATAGCCAGGAAAGCTAGCACCAGACAATATGGTACCAAATAAGGAAGCATGCCAAGAAAATTCATTTCCATTAAGACTCCCAGTTGTGACAAAAGATGCACTTTTGGTTACAGGGATGATTTGGTCTTGTGGTTTTAAATGGCTACACACTGGGTACTAACAAGATATAATTGGGTCTAAATAATTTCTCGATCAGTATCTATAAATTACCTTCATTTTAATGGAACCACCCACTGAGATGATGTCATATTGACAGATGCGTCAGTCTGCACCATATTATTGTCGTTACCCAAACTTTTAAGAGAAAGTTAGAAATAGCTGTAACATCTTGAGAGAAATTATCATCATGATTTCTTAACTGTTTGAAACTCTCTAGAGATTCTGCTACTTGATCTCTCTTTCCATCGACTTAATTAACTTCTTTCCTATTGCAAACCTTGTTTTTTAAAGGATCATTTGTTAAAGAAAATATTGAAATTCTCTTTTCACTTAATAAAGAGAGTGTAAAATATTGTCGGTTTTGATCAATATGAATACTATATTTGTAAATTGTTAAAGTACTTCTTTTTCTTTCAGTAGTAATCAAAGAGAGGTACCATGGAAGAAGTACCAGGAAGACTCTTGAATTTGGAAGACTCTTGAATTTTGACAGAATGTGAGAATACCGTACTTCAGAGATAAAATTACATTTTAAATCATCATAAAATAAAACATTATGCCTCGTGAGACATTTACTCATTGCACCAGTTTCCCACGTTATTTTTGTTTTTTCAAAATATTAAGCGGAAGACAGTTTCGTTATTTATTCTCAATATTGGCTACATCTGTGGATCACAAAGGAAATCATCACATCCATCTTTAATCATCACATCCAACTTAAATTAAATCATCACATCCAACTTAAATCATTACATCCAACTTAAATAATCACATCAAACTTTAATCATCACATCCTTATTCATCACATCCAACTTAAATCATCACATCCAACTTTAAACATCACATCCACATTAAACTTTAATTATCACATCCAACTTTAAACATCACATCCAACTTTAATCATCACATGCAACTTTAAACTTTAATCATCACATCCAACTTTAATCATCACATAAAACTTTAATCACATCCAACTTTAATCATCACATCCAACTTTAATCATCACATCCAACTTTAATCACATCCAACTTTAATCATCACATAAAACTTTAATCATCACATCCAACTTTAATCATCACATCAAACTTTAAACATCACATCCAACTTTAATCATCACATCCAACTTTAATCATCACATCCAACTTTAACTGATACTTTTATCTTTTACCCAAATCAAGGCAGTTCAGTCATTCTCAACTTTAATTGTAAAACACTTTTCACCCGAATATGATTTTTAGTTAATTATTTCAAGATAAATACTACGTTCTGTCATCAGTGAGTTAATTATTGATGTCATATGAAGAGAAAGAAATGGGGTTTAACATCCACCCAACACAAAACTGGGCCTTTGCGACTAACATATGATAGAATTATATTTCAATAATCCACTTGCGAGCTAAGGTCCTTAGCAGCGGGAGGAACACGGAGAAACACCACAAGGTTAGGTAGGCAGCCCTACTCCTTGTCACGAACAAGAGGGCGATCGAAACCACGCCACTTGACTCAATGGCAGACCATATGATCTAAAGTGCACGAAATAGACGATTTGGCCACCCAACCCATCCTTGATGTCACATTGAACACATAAGGCAAGTCAAGCCCAACCCTCAGCTCTAAAATGCCAGTCTTATGATAAGAGTAACAGACATAAAAAAAATCGACCAGGCCTAAGAAAACTACCTCATACATTTATATAGAAATAATAGATGTGTGAAGCTTTAAAATAAAACCACTAAAACCATTCAAATCATTTGTGGTTGTTCTTAATGTTTAACGTCCACTTCAACTGAAGGTGATATCGCAGACCAGTTGTCTTATTTTCATTTTTATTATCTTAGCGCACACTTAGGCGTCTTTCCTGTCCAAGGAAATCAAAATACCCGGAGTAAACCCACAAGGTTAAGAAGGCGCCCCTATCTCCAAGCCACATACGCTCACACCTGGAATCGAAACCACAACTGCATGCCAGAGGTGACCGACCATCTTAGGATTTTGTCACTAATTTATACTGAATTCTAAGACAACTGATTTAGACGATGAATTCAGTATAAATCTTATGATTTTGTTACTGATTTATACTGAATTCATCATCTGGACCTTGTCTGCTGTACTCGATTTTCATTTACTAAATTTCATCCGGTTGTATTTGACAAGGAGTAGGGTCACCTGTCCAACCTCATGGGTTTTCTCCGGGCCCTCCGCCCACTGCTAAAGACACCTATTTGCAAGTGAATTATTGAAATAAAATTGAACCATGTTTAGTCCCAAAATGACCTAGTTTGTGTCCAGTGGATGTTAAACCCCATTTCTCTCTCTCTCACCAAATTTCATAATGTCAACAGTTGGAACAAAACAGTAGGATGTTAAACCCCATTTCATTTCATTTTCATTATGTAAACATAATAACATAATATATAGTCAAATAAACCTGCTATAACTATATATAACAAACACACATTTAATACACAATTTCCCAAATTAAACACTCATTCTATCATTATATCAAGCTGAAAATTAATATCTGCCCAACAAAATTAATGGAGGAAACTAAATAGTCATTGAGTGAATTCAATATTGATGAATATTGTTAGAATAGCATGGTTGGTGATTTTCTAATGAGATGTTAACAGTTTTGGACCCTTAGAGATTATCTGTGGTCAAAAGAGCAAGCTCTTTATATTGAAGATTAATCGGTAAGCATGTAATCCCCAATTTAAAACTCAGAATAGCAGCAGGGACTCTTGTCACACTGACAGCTGTAGAGATGAAGAAACAAGGCAATGACAAATGATCTTTTCGTATCTCCTATAATTACAGTGTTAGGTTGGTACTCGAGGGAACAATATATATACAAATAAAAACACTAGGCATTTGTCAAGTCAACCTTTATACAACCCTTTTATTTAAAACTCAGAACTTAATTAAAATGACACTCTGAATTTCAAACTGGTATGTAGAGATGTAATTATGAATACCATTTCAAAGATTAGAGTTTCAACTATCTTCTTAATCTCGGGGTTGGATGGCCGAATGGTTAGCATGTGCGCGCTTTATCAGAAGGTCTGTCATTGAGTCACTGGTGTGGTTTCGATTCTCCGGTTATACGTAACAAGGATTAGGGTCACCTGTCCTACCTTGTGGGTTTTCTCCAGTTCCTCTGGCTTCCTCCCACTGCTAAAGACCCCTATGTGCAATCGAATTATTGAAATAAAATTGGGTTTAATACTTGATTCATATTATTACAATGAAATCAGTCCAAATGACTGTTGGATGACCCAGTGCAGCACAGGTTGAAAGTAGTACAACTCCAAAAACGAAAGTGGTAGTCCAACGCCACCTGGCCTATGTTACTCCCCAGTCTGAGCTTCCCCAGTCCGAGCTACCCCTAAACACCAAATTTCAGTCTCAGGACTGTCCTAGTGTAACCGCCAACCCTGAACAGACAAACGACAGTCACAAAGGACTAGTATTGATAATTAGTTACCATGAGGAGAAAACGGAAGGGGGCTACAGGAGGGGAGGGGGGGAGGAGGGTGCAAAAATGCATAGTTCCTCTGTTTTGTTTGTCAAGTTACTGTTTGTTTATTTTCTTAGGGCACAGAATTTTTCCCCCAAGTGAACCCCACTTTCAACTCTTAGATCTATGACTCCTACTATAAAGCCTACTGTGATATAAATAATTCCTGTGATTATGATACTAGTCTAGTAAAAATATACTATAAATCATTTATCACAGATGCCATCATTATTAATAGTGATTTATATTAACTAGGTTCACTATCTGCATATAACTATTATAGAGGCTAAATGAACATTTCACAATATGCCATATCAAGTTGACTTTATACTGACAGTAGAAATCCATTTGGTGTTGGGCAAGCTGGCAGAATAAAAATATAATAAATAGGTTTCAGAAAATGGAGCCAGTAGCAATCAAATAATCCAATAAACAGTATTAATTAACAAATGATATCGTTACTAATTACGGAAAAAAATATGAATATGGTGGCCTTAATCAAATCAATCGACGAGGTAATAATGAAAGGTTATAAAAATGTCTGGGGAAGAATATGTAGTATATATATATAT